AAGGAAGGAAGGAAGGAAGGAAGGAAGGAGACAATGTAACTCTGAACGTTCTGAGCCATTGTGACATTTTGAATCCGCGAGCATGAAAGTACCAACCCACAAAGCTGCAAGCGCCACAGCAGGGATGGAAAGGGGAAACCCTCGCTCTTCCAACTCTCATGCTGCTTAAGGCTTCGCGTACAGTGAGCCACTGTCAATTTCCTCCGTGAGAAGAGAACACTTTCCCTCTGTTCCCCCCCACCTGAACTCTCCTCCTCAAAAGTGGCGGGGCTGAGAGACAGGAGCTCCTTGAGCGCCATGGTGGGTGGTTCTTAGGGAAATTACCCTCCTCTCTGACTGTTTTGAAATAAAATAATAAAATATACTAAGGGCAATTTGGGATTCATTTCACTCCAAATGCAAAGCAGGGAGATATAGAGAATTATTGGAAAGTTGTCATTTCTATAACTGAATCTTTTTCGAATAACCAGGAAGAAGACGATCCTAAATTGTCGAATAGAATAGAATAGAATAGAATAGAATAGAAACCAGACCAGTTCAGACCAGACCAGAGTAGAGTAGAGTAGAGTAGAGTAGAGTAGAGTATAGAGTAGAGTAGAAGAGAATAGACAATATGGAAGAGAGAATAGAATAGACAATATGGAGTAGAGTAGAGTAGAGTAGAGTAGAGTAGAGTAGAGTAGAGTAGAGTAGAGTAGAATAGAATAGGAATAGAATAGAATAGAATAGAATAGAATAGAATAGAATAGAATAGAATAGAATAGAATAGAATAGAATAGAATAGAATAGAATAGAATAGAATAGAATAGGATAGAATAGAATAATGTTCTATTTGTAACAATGAAAATACATCCTGCATATCAGATATTTACATTACGATTCATAACAGTAGCAAAATTACAGTTATGAAGTAGCAACAAAAATAATTTTATGGTTGGGGGTCACCACAACATGAGGAACTGTATTAAAGGGTCGCGGCATTAGGAAGGTTGAGAACCACTGAGCTAAGGCCACCAAAGGTTTAAATCAGGTAAGGGAGAGTAAGTGACTCCTAGCCAAGTCCCATCAAGCAAATAAATCAACCCTGTTTCCGACATCAAAACTAATCCACTATTACTGTCTCAATAATTTTTCCTAGAAAGGGAAGGTTGGAGTCAAGAAGGTACTTGTCCAAAACCCTATATTCAAATGGAATTGCACCACAGCTTTTGTCAAGGCTGCCAGAAATTCCTCCTCCTACAAAGAGACGTTGACGATCTGCCAGATGCAGATGGTTATGCCCACAGCTATCAACAACCATAGATCGAAAGAATCTGTGTAATATTATAAGATATGTAAGACCTTAATCACCATTAAGGATTCTTCCCATGTGGTGCCAAGGCTCAAGGAATCTGAGCAACTTTATCAGTGAAATGCTATGCAAATTAGTCACAGATGCCAGATAGGTTTTCATGTTGCTCTTCCAAGAAGGTAGTTGGCTATTTAAATAAATTCAATGAAAAATAATTCACCAACACAGTAAGTTTTAAATAAGCACATTTTGCCTACTATCTCACCATGTCCAGGCCTAAATGTGGATATGTACCTGTGCTCAGTCTAATTCACTGCTTATTTTCCTTCAGGCATTGTTTATGGCACTTCACTTCTTGAAAGTGAAACATTAGAAAATGAAGGTTCCAACAAGAATCAGTTGCCCAGCACACTTCCTTGCTGTCAGGTGCATATCAAACAGGTATCTTGGCCACATGCATTGAGGGTTTTCATGAAGTAGGAAAACAAATAATTTTTTTTTAAAGTTTATGGAAAACTAAAAACAAATACCAGAAAAGATATACAAAGTTGTTAACATTGACCATTAGCACTATAATTTTGTTTTTAAATAAAAGTGTAACAGTAGTAGTGAGACCAAGTTGAAGCAACTTCTCCTGGAAGCTCAACATTTTGCAAATGGGTGTGAAACCTTTTTTTCAGCAGTTCCAAGATCCTTCCTAAATCCTTCCATTCTCCACCATTCAGTCAGAACTGCAGAAGCTTCTTGGATGAAAAGTGAAACATCTTCAAGGAAAAACAAATTCCAGTTGCCTTTTGAAAAAGCACCTTTGGTACATACAAGTTTGTATTCATACAGATTTATAAGCATGTGATGCAGTCATATAGATGTCTTAAAACTTTAACTGGGCAAGGAATGAGATAGTAATTAGGTAAATGGGATCCTGTATGAAGATTTTTGAATCATCCAACTATTGTTGTTTGCATCAAGAATTCAGTTTCAATTGTCTTCTTCCCTTAAACGTAGAGGTTTCATTGGGGTATTGTAGTTAATAACTGTTATCAGCAAAACCCAGTAGCTATTTCAACAAGTTGTAGTCACAAATTTATGCTATGCATATGATAGGATCCAAATGTAGTCACGTTTTAAAAAGACCCTTAGATATCAGAGGCACTTGAATTATGCAAGTTTAAAATTGATTCACTTATATCAGTGCGGGATGCAGTGTTGTTTGTTGAATCTTAACTTTTCCACACATATTTCCTGTAGAGTAAATAAATATAAAAGTAGCCAATGATTTTAATTTATCTAATCAAGTCTTAAAAAAAGACTTTTCCTTATTTTCTCATCAAATCAAATTTAAATTCTACTACAAATATTTTCTTCTTTGGGTATTTTTTTAATGTTATAATTACATTCTCAAGATAAAAAGAAAATTGTTACTTCAAACTAGAATTGCAATTCCTAGGATATTTATTGTAAGTAGAATCACCACAGATATTATTCAGTCACTGCTTACAAAATCCCTGCTATCTAGAATTGGGAGTAGGGGAATGCAGATATGCAAATATAGCATAAGCAAATCAGCAATTGCCAATTACTCTGGAAAAAAATGTCACTACAGTTGCACTCCTCCAGTGCTGAGGTCCCAGAACATCTATATATCACACTGATGACGTTTTTGGTCATAAACTCAAAAAGAGCAGGTGAGAGCTGCTTTGTTTATATCATTTAGATAATGACTTTATACTACATATGAAATCATACTGTAGCACTTTGTTTAAACAGAAATTTAAATAAGCAATTAAAAACACCTGGACAAATTTTTTGCCATCTGCCATTTTATAACATACGCCATATGTCACATTGCATCACTGTTTAAAAAATAGCAATATGGATATAATAATGTTGACCTACATCTCCTGAATACAGTACAGACAGACAGCAACCTGAGATATGAAGAATTAGGACTTTTATTTTAGGTAGGTAGGTAGGTAGGTAGGTAGGTAGGTAGGTAGGTAGGTAGATAGATAGATAGATAGATAGACAGACAGACAGACAGACAGACAGACAGACCTATCAATCTGGTCAAAAAGTTATATTATGCTGCACATGCCGAATATTTAACCATCAAGAGTCCATTTAAAATCCAAGGATGTTAAGGATAAGGAACAAATGACATTTATTCAAGCATTGTAAGATTTATTTATGAAGCCATTCAAGTTTTCTAAAATATAATATAATAAATGTTTCTGTTTTGGATAAAATGCAAAAGTAAAGGAGCCCCAGAATGCAAATAGCAACTGTAATTATCATGTGAGTATCTTTGCGATAGCCTTGAACATGCTTATCACTTCAGATTTGTAAAGCTAGTTGTGTGCCTATTTAAATGAACATGTGCAAAAGCTCTAAGGTGTGCCACTGGGCTGCAGTGGCTAAAAGTTTAATGCAATTGTTATAATTAAGATTATTCAATCAGTTATGATTAAATTCTCTGGATAAAACATAATTGTCATTGCAGATTAGAATTGGGATCTTAATAATAAATAGAACTGCCACAGAAATTATTTAGTTATTATTTATTAAAGAAAAGTGTTATCTATATGTTATACAGCAAGTAAAATCACACACCTCTGTTCTGTTTGGAGAATCTCATCCCAGGCTCTAAAGATTTGGGAAAACATTGAGAAAAAGTCACAAAGATTATGAGAAAAATAGCAATAAAGATTGAAAAATTTGAATATATTATATTACATGTTCAAGCTAATTTTTAGAGCAAATAAGCCTTTTCACTGCCTCTTTTATCATAAGACATTCAGATCTAATTTATTCAGAGCAATGTGGCTGACTTCCTTTTTAGAAGACCCAGAGCAAATTTCATTCAACTGTCTCCATACTGTATCCCTATTTACAAACCACCATCCAATAGATACTACTGTGCAAGGAAATCTTATCCATCTTTTCCCCAAAACAAGTCCTGCTGTCCTCAGTGGATCATATATATATATATATATATATATATATATATATATATATATATATATATATATATATATATATATATACACATACACATACACATATATGTGTGTGTGTGTGTGTGTGTTTCTGTGTGGGTGTGTGTTACTCTATACACCTGTTTATCAGTATATCTCAGTTAATAGAAAACAAATAGCTCGAATAAGTTATCTTACTAGAAGAATTTGACATAAGGAGAATGGCAGAAAAGCAGTTGGCATGAATTTGTTGAGAAATCAAGAGGACTCAGTTATCTATTTTAGAATATTCTATATTCTATAAGCAAATTCCACAAAATTATGAATTTCAGTTAATTAATCTTGAATGTTTAAGGACAATATTCTAAATGGAACTAATGCTGCATTTCTCTTAGAATCTTGATCTCCATTACTAACTGACAAGCAGCTGATCAGCATTTTGTCTCTACATTTAATTCTCCCTGTTACTTCTTTGCTTCTCCCCCACCCCCAATCTCTCCCCTATAATCAATCACCGAGAGTCATCTTTACCCCCAGAGACCTTTCTTTCCCCTGTGACGTATTTTTCCCACTTCTGACAGACATACTCATCTCATCCAATACCTTTATAATGGATTCTCCTTTTTGAAACTAGTAACCACCAAAGGCCCCAATATGAGAATCAGCACAATAACAGCAGAAAGGAAGAAAGAGGAGGAGAAAGTTTTCTCCACAGTGGACTAGAGGAAAATAGGACATTCAGATCAAAGTACTTCTGTTTTACAGATTACCTCCTCAAGGCAATTCTTCTTCCTGAAAAAAGGAGCCCAAGATCACTTTCCCAGTGGTGATGCCTGGATGGCTAGTTAGCTGGCTGGCTGCCTCCCTGGATAGTGATAGTCTCAAAGAGCTGCTGAGAATCTGATAAAATGGCAAGAAAGGCAACAGTTCTCAAGACCCCAGAAAAAATCAAATATTTAGCTTCCTTTCAATGCTGTACCAGACCCTGCATGAGCCTAAGCTAACCTGCACAGGGGTCTTTTAAGTCAAAAGTGCTTTGTAAATGCGCCTGTCCCTTTAAATAAAGGGAACGCTGTTTCTCACACTCTGTCTCTGTGGGTGAACACAAGGTGCTGAGATTGAGCCGCTTGAGAGAGAGTAAAGACAATCCAGTGGAAGGAGGAAGAAGGGAAAACCTGCTGGAAAAAAGAAAGAGGTGAATTGGGGGCAGAAATGAAGATAAGTGAAATAAAGGCAACAGGGCCTGGGGGGAGGTGAGAGTTTTTGTTTAATAGTCATAGGAAGAATAATTGTGTTTTCATGGAGGGTGGGGGATAATAAAATTAATCTAATGTTATTGAAGCTACTCTGGGAGTTAAGAATTGTCTGTGTAAACTCAAATAGCATTCTCAACAACCTTTTATGCCTGAACTTCAAAAAACTGAATTTCTAAAAGAATTGTCAGTTAAGATTCACTGGGAAGAGTAATTCCTGTTCTACAGCTGAATCCCAGTGCTGTATTAGTTGCTTGGCTTTTCTTTTCATTATTATGGAAATATAAATATTTATGATACATAGAAGCCTCATAAACACTGTTATTTTGATTGAATAACATAATTTTCCTGTTCTGATACAAAACTTAAACTAAATGTAAATTCTGAATGTATAGCAAAAAATGAATTAAAAAGTATATCATATATTCACAATAGTTCTACATTTTCATTGTTTATTTCTTGGGGTTCTTGATTGTGATGGATTGTATTTATTTTTTAAGTGTTGTGCTGAAGCTGACTTTATCACAATAATAGCAAACTTAAAACAGTTCTTGTGTAGGGATAGAAATATCTTTTTGTCAATAAAGATTACTGGTTTTAAAGTAGAAAATATTATTTTACACATTTTGTTCTTTATTTTTTATAGTTTTTCAATTGGTATAATATCTTTAATAAAAAAATAATTTTACCAAAAGGACAGTAAAGAAATGTTTCTCATTGTAAAAGTTGGTTTTACACACTTTTTAAAGATTTCTAATCAGTTTCTTTTGCTTAAAACAGAACAAAATCAGCATTTTAATCCTGAAGCTAAAACTTGGAAATAATATTTTAATATGACAGTGATTGTCTGGAACATTGACCAGATTATGTTTAAAATAAAAAAAAATAATATCATAAAGAATTGTAGATTGAATTCTGATATTATAATGTGTAATTTACTTACTACATATGTGCAACTGAGATTTAGCAAGTATATAATATGTAATTTTTTTATAGCTCCCATATTATGAAATAGCAATCCAGAAACCTGTTGTGACTTCAAAATGGTTTTTCATGTGGAAGGGTTGATAGCTATCATTTTGTTCTACTTGGCCATCCTGTTTGTTGGAATATGGGCTGCTTGGAAGACAAAAAACAGTGGGAGTGATGGAGATCGTCGTGAAACTATTATAGTTGGTGGAAGAGATATTGGCTTGCTAGTTGGTGGATTTACCATGACTGGTATGTTTCACTCTTTTTACTATTATTCGTGTTATTTATAAGGTGACAGAAATGTATCCTTTCCAAATACAACTTTGTAATCAGAGAAAATGCTTATTAGTTTTCACTAAAACTAGAAGGTCTGAGCAGTTCTGCTAGAAAGGCTTCAACAAGTTGCTTCTAAATATTTATACTGAAAATGGTGATTTGTATATTCGTCTTTGAAAATTACAACCCACTAAGTTTTGCTTAATAATACAACATGAACAGTATTAACATATAGTCATTTCTTCTGTACGTCCTCTTATTATTTGCTACAAAAGCTATTTAGTGAATGAATTACATTTCCAATTTGTGTATCACTTTTGGTAAAATCAAAAGAAAGCAATGTAAACAAAAAAAGTCATAGCTATTTGCATAACATGCACAACAGGAAAAAAATTAAAATAAAATGCATCAATACCACTTTCGTCCCAGCCAGACACCTCTATTAATTTCAACACAATTACACAAAAAATGTACTAAAGCTTCTTCATCATTGATTTAGCCAGATCATTTTGGAAAAGGGTGATTCCCAAACTAAATATTTGTAGCTAACCATCATAAGTAGAAATGCAAGAGGATCCTGAAAACATTTCATCAGAAATTATTATTCTATGTAATGGATTGCTCATGAGTAGAATTGGCCTGATTCTCTACAAAGGATTCACCCTTAATATTATTTTCACAGATATCAGAAACAATGGACCCTGAAGTCTCTATTTTTTCCAAAATATTTGGACTCCATAATGCGAAATGATGAGACACAGTGGACTAAATGCACTAAAATATATAAAAAGACTATGACAGTGTTACAAACTGTCACGTAAGAATTGTATAAAATTAAATGAGCTATGAAATGACTCCGATCAAACAAAAGGATTTGTCTTTTAAGTGGCTTAATGTTTTCTGAAAAAAAGTCACTTGCGTCCCCAATTTTATATTCTTTTTTATTTATCTTTCAGTTTTTAATGCTTTGCCCAGTTTTCAAAATCACATTATTTGGGTTTTATTTTTAATTGAAGGATTAATTTCAATATTTTATCAGTTCTTGTAATTTTGGTGACAGGCAAGAGTACAAATCTATAATAAGGAAAATATTTAATTCAATCATTAAATAAAATTCTGTGCTTTTCACATCACATTTTGTTATAAGAATCTATAGTTCTGTTAAGATAAATAAATAAATAAATATGCACTACAAGTGGTTGGTTTCATCTATTGGATTGCTATTTTCCAGTCATTCAGATTCACAGTTGCCATCATTTTTCAGTGCTGGGTTCTGAAGCCATGTGGACTCAGGAGAATTATTTGGTAGATTATCAGTCCTATAAGTATTTGTTGCCGTTAACTGTAATTCCACAATGATTTTTACTTGCAAATATTAAAATATTAAAGATAGCCATTTAAATGGTAAAATTGCATTTAATTTTGTCTATAAACTGAATACCAGTCCTGAGAACAATCCGAATTTTTCAGTCTGTTTTGCTAAGAAGAGAGCCAACTGTCTAAGATTATCTACATTAATATTTATAATGGGAAAATTCTTCAAACAATTAATAGCAAAAATAATATTTTTTAAAAAATGAATTAATTCACAGAGAGTTAACAAGAGCAATTGAGCAATGAAATGAAAATAAAATAAGTGACACCATATTTCTATTTTCCTATTTTTATAACTCTGTATGTGTCTGTGTATATATAGTATATATGTGTGTGTGTGTTTGTGTGTGTGTATAGATACACATACACATACACACAGTTAATATTTGATTTCATTCTAATACTATGGAATTATATTGATATGAAAATTATACATCCAGTTTTACTCTGTGCCTTAAGCTTTTCTTTAAATAGTTCTGAAATTAGGACAATAAAATCTGTAATATATATTAATCAATAAACCTAATAAAACTGATAAGTTTATCACTTAATTTTTCTTTGTTTTCCCTTTAGGGTTTTACTATTATGTATGTTATTCATGTTTTGCCTGTATTTTAAATTTCATTTCAAAATAACTTTCAATTTTTTTATCAGAAGAACTGGTAATAACAATCTTACTGAAACTAAAATCAAAACTCTCTGCTCATCACAACTGAAAATAGTTCCAAAAGGGTGGGAAAAAACTTTCTGCTATCTTTTCAATCATAAGCTTATGAAAACTATTCCATCCATCAAGGTCTGAAGAATGGGAGTTAATATGAGATATACCGTTCATTAATGTATGTCTCAAAGATGCTTTTTCATGAGGCAACTGGACTTTTTTTTTTCTTTGAAGATGTTTAGTTTCTCATCCAAGAAGCTTCTTCAGCTCTGAGCTCAGCTCAGATGAGAAGCAAAACGCCTTCAAAGAAAAACAAGAAAGTCCAGTTGCCTCATGAAAAAGCATCTTTGGGGCAACTATGAACTGGATAACTGAGAATATCCATAGGCAGTTCATTAATATATGACTGAAATAATTATCTGAGATATAACATTAATGTATGAATGAAATGTATTATAACAGGACTGAATAGAAAACAGGCTCTCCCTAATATAAATGTCCTATAATGTATTGAGTTGTAAAGGCACGGAGTATAAATTTGGGGTGACACATGTAAAACAAGGACATGAATGAATAAAATAACTTTCTATTGCTACATGATGTACTATTTAATTGTTATTTCTTTTTATTTTAAATGAGGACTTGTTTTGATGGTGTTGATATCTTGGACTTCACTATTTAGTCTTTGCCAAGAAAATGTTGGCAACAAAGAATTTGAAAACATAACAAATGTTATCTGCAATTTATTGGAAAAGAATGGATTCCACAAAAAATATTTGAATAATAATATTTAGAAAAAGAAACAATTCTATTAGTTCAGGTGAACAGTGATATGAAAATGCTCTGTTTGATGTTATTTTTTTAAAGGAATCTATACCAATAGGAGCTAAACTTACCGTAGGTTGAAGTATAGAATTATTTTGTTCAGCGATGTCAATTATGTTCTTCTGCAGGATTTTTCTATTTCATTTCCCTACGTAATATTTTCCTATCCTACCCATGAAGTTTCAACTGAGTGTGCTAAATTATAATTGCACTATAGGTAGTCTTCAGATTAGAATGCTAATTGAGACTATCAGTAGGCAATGTGATCGTAAACCCACATGTTACCACATCACTTAGGAATGGAAATCCAGCAGTCCCCATTGCTATTATTAACTAAATATGATCAATTATTAGACAAGGACTTTCCCCAATCCAAATCACTTCTGGATTGGTCCCTCCCAGCCTTGAGCCTTAGGAAAGCAAGGGACTGCCTCTTCTTCAATTGTCCTCATCCACCTATCTGGAGCGTGGTGGTTCACAAAGTTAGAATGCTGGGCTGATGATCAGCAGCTTGCAGTCAAGACCCACTGCTGCCACAGGGCAGGGTAAGTTCCTGTCACATGCTCCAACTCCGGCTGACCCAGCAGTTCAAAAGCAGTGACCACAAGTAAATTAATGGGTACCACTTTGGTTGACAACTTTACCAGGACACTAAAGGAGCCACCAACTGGGCATCCTTCAGGCAACAGTGATGTCACTGGCAAATACTTTCATCACAGAAGAAAAAAAATCCACCTATCTTCCCCACCCCGATATCTCTGTCCTTTTGGTTACCTCGCATTCTGTCATCTTTGCTGCTCTTGCTGCCCTGTAGATACTGGCCTAAACATCCCTGCAGGGCTTCAAGCAGCATTCTATAGTAACAGCATTGAGACTACTGATGGCCCCAGGGCTCTACTTCACTCCTAGTGCCACTACAGTCACTAAGGAGTTCTGTTGTGTAGAGCAGCAAAGGATCAGAGATGGGGGAATAGATAGGTAGGAAGAGCTGAAGTGACCCTTTGTGAATGGGCTTCCAAATACCTGTATTTTGATCACAAGATTTCATGGGCACTGCAATGGCCATAACTTGTGTAAATATCATTCGTATAGCACTGCCATGACTTTAAATGGTTGCTGAATAAATGGTCATAATTTGAGGACAATCTCTATAGTTTTTTTTCTATATTGTTCTTGGTTTGTGTGTGGAAAGTGGTACTTTGGCTAGGACAGGACCGCAGTATGGATAACTGATCTACGTAAGGTTTGCTACAAAAGCCAGTAATGCCATCTCAGTGTGCCAGACCATTTTTCTTATTATATCAATTGTCTTCATAGCCATCATGCAGTTAAAAATTCTGTTAGCCACATTGGCTTTCAGAACCATTCTGTTACATGTTCTGTCCACTGTATTATGTAGCATCAACACAAGCAGAATAAACAACAGGACTTTATCTTCATTCAATAGTTATAGCTTTCTAATATGCTTTGCACCTATTTCTATTTCTAGGAAAGATTTTTTTCTTTAACCAAGCCTTTCCTTTTGAATCGGTTAACAGTGAGTTTCAACTATTTGTTATGTGAATTGTTGGTTAAATTGGTGTTTTTTTTAAAAAAAAAAATCTGGCTTGAAAGGCTCCAGAAAAAAAAGGAGGGATATAAATTAATATTATTGTTAGTATTTATATCCTCATCTTTCACTAGAAGTACAGTATTAGCAACTTGCAGACTGATTACATGCCACTGATTTTACAATATCCTATTCCTTTGGTAGGAAATAACATCAGAATAATATCTATATAACTTTTTTTCATTTCTGTTAGTTATATATAGGTCAGAGTGCTTCATAATATCCCTTTTGTCTGTATAGGAGATATCAGTAGGAATAGGAATTAGACAACATTTCACATTTGGGACAATAGATTAACCTCCATTATGATCCTAGGAAGCCATTCCAATAAATAGTACATTTTATACTATTTTCACTTATTTTATTGAGATATATATTGCTTACTACCCCAATGGGAGAGTTTTTCTTCTTCTTCTTAATTTTATATTAAACTATTAAAAAAACCAACTTAGTACCATTCAGATTCAGAATTATGGAGCTTACAGTATTTGGGGACATTTATCTTAAATATTAAAGCAGCCTTTTATGAAAAATATGTCACTTGTATCAGCTAGCAATCTTGGACATAGGAAGTGTGACCTGAACCAGATTAAGGGAACTTTATCAGACTTTAATTTGAGTTTCTGTGTGGAATAACCTTTGGTACAATTGGGGGTCAGTTCTTCCAGTGATCATCAAGACAAGGCTAAGGCTAAGCAGCCTTATGAATTATGCTGAGTCAGTTTGCTCAAAACCGTACTTCCAACTGAAGGAAGCTATTAAGTGGAATACCATACATGCAGACAGAAATGAAGAAGGAAGAGAGTCAGAGGATACCAGTTGCCCATAGAAATACAGAGGTTTCACCTGGAACATCTGTACAGGTAGTCCTTGACTTACAACAGTTCATGTAGTGGCTTTCAAAGTTACAGTGGCATTGAAAAACAGTGACTTATGACTGTTTTTCATACTTACAAATGTTGCAGCATCCCATGGTCATGTGATCAGAATTCAGATGCTTGGCAACTGATTCACATTTATGATGGTTGCCATGTCCTGGAGTCATGTGATCACCTTTTGGGACCTTCTCACAAGCAAAGTCAATGGGGAAGCCAGATTCACTTAACAACCATGTTACTAACTTAACAATTGAAGTGATTCCCTTAACAACTATAGCAAGAAAAATCATAAAGTGGGGCAAAACTCACTTAACAAATTTTTCACTTAGCAGGAGAAAATTTGGGCTCAATTGTGGTCCTAAGTCGAGGATTACCTGTACTCTTTTTGGCAACCAGAGATTACTCATTACTACAAGATGATACCAGTCTGCATTCTCCTTGTGTCCAACTAACAATTTCACTAGAAGAATGGGAGACCCTATTATTCAGCAACTTTATTCTATTGATAATCTTGAATGTCTCTTCAGAAGATCACAGGGCCAATGATGGCCATTACTTATGAATTAGTGTGGATCCATGATGTATTTCTTAGTTCTTAAAATATTTTTACAAGGCAACCTGTAGGAGACATAATCACTGCCATTATAAAGCAAAATTTTACTAAATATCTGAACATTCTCCCAGCTTGACTAATAATATGTATCTTTGTGAGCGGCTGCTGAAGTGCTCAGTATGATGGTGATACTACTGAAAATCAGTTAACTAGGTACTCAGAAAAGCTACTTAACAGTACTTCACTAAGCAAAGACAAAGCAACAAGAATATTTAGGCTGGCACTTAGAGGTATTATATGCCAGTTAAATTTTACTTTTATTTCTTTCTCTCTTTCCCATTACTTATTAAAATACACTAATTTTTAGTGTATAATGTAAATTTCCAAATTACATGCATGCAGATAGGTCTTTAGATGAAGTGACTGTGTGCAATATCATTCTTCATTATATTATTTTTGCTGCACAAATCAATTACTTAATTTTGCTTTCTCCATCCACTGTATAATGGATGTCGTCCACTTCTTCCACAGCAACCTGGGTAGGAGGCGGTTATATCAATGGAACAGCCGAGGCAGTGTATAATCCAGATTTTGGACTAGCCTGGGCTCAGGCACCCATTGGGTATTCGCTTAGCCTCATTGTAGGTAAGCTAAAGATGGAAACATAGCAGAAGAAAAATATATTGTTAAAATGAAAAGGATGTTGAAGTCAATATTCTATGAATGCCTGTTCCTGTATTTCTCTTTCATTGTAAATGAATTTGGGGATGATGGGTGGAGCCAGCACTAGAGATGGTATCTACAGAACTATGTTCATCTATCTTGTAACAAGATATTAAGGACAAAATTTTTGTCAAAGCCTGGTGTTATTTAGTGGTTTTGTTTTAAAAAATGTATGGAAATTTAGAAGAGGTCGCTTCTCTTGTTTTCCTCTCAATATTGGGTGGCATTAAGAATTAGTCATTGTTAGGTTAAATTATTTACTAAGCAAGTTAAAACTAATGGAAATTAAGTCCTATTGATTTTTATGAATCATAGTATCAAAAGCTTGGGACAATTTAGGCCATTGTCCAACTTCCTGTTCAGGGCAGGAGTACAAATTAAAGCATCTAAGCATGTGGGAATATAATCTTTGCTTTAATATACCCAACCCAGTTTTGTAACAAATTACTTTTCACTGTTGATTTTTTGCTTGGTTGGGATAATTGCTCTACATAAGACTAACTAAAGGAGTTGCACACATTAAGTCTGTGTCCAAGTAATACAGACCTAATGCTGACTATAATATTCCACTAGTCATTGCACTATCAATCAGTAATATTAACAAGTATAAGAACCCCAATTCCATTACTATATAGCCACTTTGACAATCATTGAGAAGAAAGACTTATTGGATTATTATATTATGGAAAATGATTTAAATATCAGTTATGTCTCTCATAAGCAGTCTAATATTACATATATAAAACCAAACATGCTTCATTTTTACAGATGGCTACTTAATCTAGAAAAATAATTAGAATCCAAACTTTTTTTAATGCATCTTTTAGGTGGCTTGTTTTTTGCAAAGCCCATGCGTTCCAAAGGGTATGTGACAATGTTGGATCCATTTCAGCAAATCTATGGAAAACGGATGGGAGGGCTTATCTTCATACCTGCCCTGATGGGAGAAATGTTCTGGGCAGCAGCCATCTTTTCTGCACTAGGTAAGGAGTTCTGTAAACAAATTAATTGTATAAAATCAGTCCGAATGAGCATAAAATATGCAAATTGATAAAAAATGCTCTTTTAAACAAATGCTTAAAAATTGAACAAGCCTTCTCAAATTTACAAGATAACTACTGTGTGGTAGTGCTAATCAGAATACTGATAGTAAAATATTGTGTAGAAAAGCCAGGTGTTCTCTTTTTTTATAGTAAGTTGAAGAGAGTAATCATGAAAGGATTTAGCTATATAATTGGATTTACAGAGATTTTGAGTGGGGATGGCACAATTCAAAATGTATTTTTAAACATTTTAAAACATTTGACCTATGTAGTGAATACCTTAATATCCGAAAGTCTAAATATTGTACTTGTTCATATATCATGCATATATATGTCATTTAGTTGTAACATAAAGAATTGTATAAATCTGTGCATGCTGAGTTTTGTGTCACTGCAAACTTGTATATCAATTTAAATGTGTATCCAATGAATAACTAGCCTGATCCCCACTGAAGGCATAAAATTGAATAATTTTATTTATCTATTTAGATTGTATAAGATCATTTCGCTCACAATTTATGACACTGGGTCAACTACACCAGTAAAAGTAAAACACAGTAAAAGTCAAAAAATAAATACAATACAAAACACAATCAATTTAGAGAAAACTGGGCTTTATAAAACACTTTCAGAGCAGAATGGTTCTTCTACTATCTCAATATAATAATAGTTATAATATCCCCTTATTTATGCACTCAAGTTGGCAACTAATAATATATGCCTTTGAATATTAAAACCAATATGAATGTTAATGTATGACCTATAGCCTGATAAGGCAGATATCATTTCCTTAAACAGTTCTTTTAAAAGCAAAGGGAGCTGGAATGAATAAAACTTCAGGAAAGACGTTTCACCATCCAAAAGTCATATAGAAAAGGCCTTGACTCATATGCTAGATAAATAAGCTCCTGACTGTAAGATCATTTTCAGAAAAACTATCTAAAAATGTTGATGAAGATTTTCAGTTATCCAGGTAGAGTTGTCTGCTGAGTTAACTTTCAGATCTATCAACTCAACTTCCAGACCTATCTAAAGATCTTAATGCCCATCAATTAAGTTCTTCATAAGACAGAAAGTGCCTTGGATGGCTATGTATGGCTTTAAAGGCAAACCTCAACATGAAGCTCTAAAGCATGGGTGTCAAACTCGTGATGTCATGTGATGTGTTGCAATGTATTGCAACTTTTTCCCATTGCCGGCAATGGGGTGGGCGCAGTTTTGGTGTGACACATCCAGCCCATGGGCTGGCAGTTTGACATCCCTGGTCTAAAGAAAGCCACTTCTGGGCTTCCAGTTTTGCACAGTTAGTGTGACAGCTGAGGGATCGCAGGGCTCTGTACCCTACGGCCAATTCCTACATGTTAGGAGATGCTAAATGGACCTGAAGTCACCCTGGAGAGCCGACAAAGAAAGAGGGAAGTCCCGCCAACTGTGGAGAGACAGCATTCAATCCGGTCATTCAGAGAAAGCCTTCCAGAAACCAGAAGGAGAAAGGCTAGCTTAATTCCAGAGTCTAGCCCAAGCTACAAGCAGCCAAAGCCCAAAAGCACTATTTTAAACTGACTGTACACAACGTGCTTGATACTGAGTAAGAACACTGATTTTATCTCTTCTACTTGATAATTGATTTCCTGGGGGAAAAGAAACCCAAGAAGCAAAAAGCCTCCAAAAGTGAGAAGGAGGGGGATCTTTGCCCTACCCTTCTACAGATGGAAGCGGCAAATTAAACTTTTTATGGAAGACAGAAATATATTGAAATGAAATGAATATAAGACCTAAATCTGGATAAGTTTGAAGTTGGTGCAATTTGTTAAGATTTTCTTTTTAAATCATGAAAACAGAAGACAGCAATTATTTATTTTGAAAACTGAAAAACGAATTGGTGCTGACATCTAGTGGTGGATGAAAATATACAATAGTAGTTGCTCCAATACAGGAACTGGCAAAGCCCAGGAAAAGATAACTTGCCTTTGTGACCTTCAATGCTTTAATAACAGAGAACAGCTGTGAGAAAAAAAAGGAAAACATTTTGGGCCACCTACAAAGCAAGAATTATAAACTTTAGAAAAAATATTGACCTTTCCGGATTATAAATACCTACTCAACTGTGACTCTAAAGCTGTTTGCACAGAAAGGAAAACCCTGATTTTTTGGCAATCATGGAAAACCAGAGATCTACAGAAAAAATATAACAAGAAAAAACAAACACTTTCCAGGAGGAGATGTATGCTATGTTGCAACTAATTCAAACAACAATGATCTCAAACCATGAGGAAATTAAAAATAACTTTGAAAATATAAATGAATACATCTCCACTTTAACTTTACAACAACAAAAAAACTCTCAGAATATAAAAATAGAGAGTGAGCAGATAAAATAGACAACTGAACATAAACAAGAGGAAAAAGATTTAAAGATGGAACCTAACAAGAGAAAGAAGTATGACTTAACCCAGGTGGAAAAAACTTGCAAGAAATATTGGATATGGAAAAGATAACTTAAACTCTAAGATCATAAAATAAGTCTGAGGACAAGAAAAAAAATTCGACAAAATGGATTACAGAGATGTCAGGAGAACTACGAGAACTTGAAAGACAAAAAATGGTAAGAGAAATTAAGAGAGAGAAAAAGGAAAAGATTTTCAATGAATATGAAGGGGCGAAACCTTCCCATAAAAACATCTTACTTGATTTGCCTTTTGTACCTACAACATCTACAACATCTATGGGAAGACTCTTTGATTCAGCAGAGCATATTGATCAGGAAAGATGTTTGGCAAAAAAAAAAAGGCTAAAGGGAGAATTAAGAAAATAGATGATGGCATTTATCAGAAAGAATATTTAAAAATTAAACATCTGTTTGAATATGGTTAAAGAAATAGAAAGATTTTGGATATAAATGAATTTTAGTTTAAGAGGGATGAACCACTCAAGTAATATAGTATTTTTTCTTTCTTCTCTCTTTTTTGTTATGTTTTTTGACATGAGAAATATAAAAATGTTGGGATGGTTTATATAAAGGAAATGTTTTAGATACTTAAGTGTAATTGATCTTGAGAAAACTTCAGTAGATAAAAATGTTTTGAATAGATCTAAAAGATTGGATAATTGGATTTATTAAATGGAATATTTAAAGATTAAACATATGTTTGAATATGGTTAAAAAGAAAAGAAAAATTATGGATATAAATGTATATTAGCCAAAGAGAGACATGTATTTTAGGTAGTATTTGTTCTCATTAGTTGCGAAGTCGTGTCCGACCCATCACAACCCCATGGACAACATTCCTCCATGTCTTCCTGTCCTCTACCATCTTCTGCTTCAGTGACTCCATCCAGCCACCTTATTCTCTGTCATCCCATTCTTCTATTGTCCTCAATCTTTCCCAGCATCAGGCTCTTCTCCAGTGAGTCCTTCCTTCTCATTAGGTGGCCAAAGTATTTGAGTTTCAACTTCAGGATCTGGCCTTCTAAAGAGCAGTCAGGGTTGATCTCTTCTAGGACTGACCTGGTTTGAACGCCTTGCAGTCCAAGGGACTCGCAGGAGTCTTCTCCAGCACCATAGTTCAAAGGCCTCAATTCTTTGGTGCTCAGCCTTTCTTATGGTCCAACTTTCACAGCCATACATTGCAGTGGGAAAACCATGGCCTGGACTATACGCACTTTTGTTGGCAGGGTGATGTCTCTGCTTTTTAGTATGCTGTCTAGATTTACCATACCTTTCCTCCCCAGGAGCAAGTGTCTTTTAATTTCTTGGCTGCAGTCCCGATCTGTGGTGATCTTGGAGCCCAGGAAAATAAAATCTGTTACTACCTCCATTTCTTCCCCATCTATTTGCCAGGAATTGAGAGGGCTGGATGCCATGACCTTAGTTTTCTTAATGTTGAGTTTCAAGCCAACTTTTGCACTTTCCTTCTTCACCCGCATCAAGAGGCTCTTTAGTTCCTCTTCACTTTCTGCCATTAGAGTGGTATCATCTGCATATCTTAGGTTGTTGATATTTCTCCCGGCAATCTTAATTCCAACTTTCGATTCATCTAGCCCTGTCTTTCTCATGATGTGCTCTGCATATAAGTTAAATAGGCAGGGCGACAGTATACAGCCTTGCCGGACTCCTTTTCCAATTTTGAACCAATCAGTGGTTCCATGTTCGGTTCTCACTGTTGCTTCTTGACCCACATATAGGTTTCTCAAGAGACAAATAAGATGGTCTGGTATTCCCATCTCTTTAAGAACTTGCCACAATTTGTTGTGATCCACACAATCAAAGGCTTTAGCATACTTAATGAAGCAGAAGTAGATGTTTTTCTGGAACTCCCTAGTTTTCTCCATAATCCAGCATATGTTGCCAATTTGATCTCTAGTTCCTCTACCTCTTTGAAATCCTGCCTGTACTTCTGGAAGTTCTCGATCCAAATACTGCTGGAGTCTAGCTTGTAGGATTTTAAGCATAACTTTACTAGCATGTGAAATGAGTGCAATGGTGCGATAGTTTGAACATTCTTTGGCATTGTGTTTCTTTGGAATTGGAATGTAAACTGACCTTTTCCAATCCTGTGGCCACTGTTGATTTTTCCAAATTTGCTGGCAAATTGAGTATAGCAATTTTACCGCATCATCTTTTAAGATTTTGAATAGCTCAGCTGGAATACTGTCACCTCCACTAGCTCAGCTTTCCTAGGGCCCATTTCACTTCACATTCTAGGATATCTGGTTCGACCACCTTCTAGGACAGTGATGGCGAACCTATGACACGCGTGTCAGTGCTGACACGTGTAGTCATTTGGGGTGACACGTGCAGGATTTCATGCGATTTTATGCAATTCATCCTTGGCTCCTGCACGCCGAGGATGAAAGAATTTTTTTTTTGTTTTTGCCACGGAAGAGAAATCCCCACGGATACCTGGCGAGTCACCAGGTTATGTGGGACTCGAACCCAC